TTCTGAAAGATAACCATGCTGGATAAAGGATTCTTGGCTGGCAATTTTTTTCTTTTGGTCTTTTGGATATATCATCCCATTTTCTTCTGGCCTGTAATGTTTCAGTTGAGAAGTCTGCTGTTAGTCTGATGGGGGCTCCCTTATAGGTGACTTTGTGCTTTTCTTTTGCTGCTTTTAGAACTCTTTGTCTTTGAGTTATGCCAGCTTGACTATCATGTCTTGGAGAGGATCTTTTTGGATTGAATCTGTTTGGGGATCTTTGGGCTTCCCAAATCTGAAGGTCTGCATCCCTCCCTATACCTGGGAAGTTTTCTGTTATTACTTCCTTGAATAAGGTGTCATTGCCTTCTCCTTTTTCCTCCCCTTCTGGAATACCCATGATTCAGATGCTTGAGCATTTGAAGTTTACTGCTAGCTCTCTTAAATTTTCTTCATTTTTTAAAATTCTTTTTTCCTTTTTTTGTCTGGATAGTTTACTTCAAAAAGACAATCTTCGAGTTCTGAAATTCTTTCTTCTGCTTGCTCTAGCCTGCTTCTCAAGTTTTCTGTTCTGATTTTTATTTCATTGAGAAAATTCTTCATTTCTAGGAGTTCTGTTACACTCTCTTTTAAGTTATTAATCTTTGCAAATTTCCTCCTTCATATCCTGGAAGGATTTTTTTCTTGTTTCATTGTGTTCTCTAGTTGATTCTTCTCTTATTTCTTGGAGTTTTCTTAAAAATCAATGCTTGGAATTCCTTTTCAGACATCTCAAGGGTTTCTTGCTTTATGGGGTTTGGTGTGTAAGAAATACCACATTTCTTTGTTGTCATATCTTGTTTATTTGTAGTTCTAGTATTTTTATGCTGATATTTGGTCATCTGGTAGAACACTTGATTCTTCTATCACTCTGGAGTGGGTTATGAGGGGGAAGACTTCTGCTGTAGGTTCTGCTGATGACTCCTCTTTTATCAATGCAATTGAGTATGTGGTGGGCTGCCTTGGCTCCTGTTTGACCAGTGCATGGGTCCTGTGTGCACTCACCGGTGTGGCCCATGTGTTGGGGTGGTGGGGACTGCAAGCCCCTCTGGTGCTCAGGTGTGGGCGGGGCTAGCTGCTGCTTCAGTCCCAGGCTGGGCTCAGGTCCTGTGCATGCTCACCTGTGTGGCCCACATGGTGGCTCAGTGGGGCCTGATGGAAAATAAATCTAGTTATCTTTTTTTGATCTTTATAGCCCTAAAAATTCTGGTTCTTCTGATGATATATGGTACCTTTAATGAGTACCTAAAAACACATTTTATTCTTCACCCTGAAATGTAAATTTAAACATTTGAACCCTTGATGTCATTTTTCTTCTGGTTTCCCTGTTTCTGGGTATTTTCACAGTCAGCCTCACCATTGTGGCTTTTGGGCTTCCATTCTCTCTGCCATGGCTGTTTGAGACCTCCTCTGCTCTGCTGCAGATCCCACGACTTTGCCCTCTGCCCCACACCCTTCAGGTTCACCTTTCTGCCCTTCCTGTGGCCACATGTGAGAACCACAAACCTGGGCCTCCATTCCGCCTGCTCCCTCCTGCCTTTTTGGAATCTTGCTGTCACACCCCTCTCCATGGGGTTCTGCCCTCTGACCTAGCGTAGCAAACTCCTTCCCATTAAAAAAAAATCACCCACCCCACCAAGGGCCAGCCACAGCCCCTTCAACACAGCCTTCACTCACTCATCATCCTACTCTTTTCCCAGGGGCTTCCCTGAAACACCCTGAATGGTAACTCAGAGTGTCTGTACTGTAGAGGAATGACTTACTGACATAGGCTCTCGTGTAATGCAGACGTCTTTCTTCCCATCAAGCTCCATTTGAGAGGCTGAATAGATATTTGAAATTAATATTGACTATTTGAACAGCTATGTGAATATTTGTTAACAGGCAGCAGTTACTGAATCTTCGGTGCTGGGCTGGGTGCTTGGCCCCTCCAAGGGGCGAGGGGCTGTGTGCATATTCTCGGTCAGGCTGGCCCAGGCTGTCAGTGGTGAGTTCATTAGGTCACTGTGAGGGAAATCTTGATCTCTTCAGAGACCTATTCCTCCTCTTTGCCTTATCAGCTCCGGAGCCAGCGTCTGTTCCTTCTGAGACTTAGGAGGAGGTGGGATGGCAGGGTGGGCTGGGACAGGGGTTTTGGAGAAGGCCAGAGCAGCTGTAGCACAGTGAAGCCTGGTGTCCCCACCTGAATCAGGTCTTCTCCATGCAGCCATCAGCAGGTATGTGATGTCAGCTTGCCTCATTATGGGGGTGGTGCTTCTGGTCCAGTGCCACGGGATTTATTCTAGTTTTCTCCCCTTCCATTTGTACCTCCGTTCCCTAGTAGTGACAAACCTGGATCCCATTATCCTTCATATATTTACCTATTTGATCAGTCCCTCCAAATGCAACCAGTCAGTAACCATCATCCCCCTGCAGGTCTCTAGCATGCCACACTGGGCTGTCCCGTTCTTCCCTGACCATGTGCAGGAGCCAGCCTTCCCCTCAGGGGCTCTGATTCTCTGCACTAAGCCATCTCTGAATGAACACCGTCTTTACCCCACTTGGGCTCTGAAGCACTATGCTGTGCCAGGCCATCCTACTGTTGGGACACCTTCTCATCCCACTTTGGCACAAGTAGCTTCTTGACTGAATTGTTCAGTAGGGAGGTGAGGTAGTACAAAGAATTTTTTTAAAGTTTTAAAAGGATAACTGCGGTGGCTGTGTGGACACGGCTTGTAGCAGGGCTTGACTGGCTGGGGGGGCGCCCGGGTTGTG